CACACAAAGATAGAGATAAGCTATTCGATCACTTGTGCAGAAGGTGCTTTGAATTTGACGACTCCGCTTTGAGAGAGGCCTTCTGACGTCCAACGACAAAATCAGCAGTGCGCCGCAGGTAGCCAACGGCGATGTCGTCCCACCTCTTCTGAAGCGCTAACTTCAGAGCACCCACCGAGCTGGAGAAGTCTTTGAGGTCTTGCTCTACAACATCCTCACATAGAGAGTCCAATCGGCATGAAGTGCCGTGAGAGAAGCGACCTCAATTCTTGAGCAAAATGGCTGTGAAATCCAGAACAACATACCGTACCTCGTTAAGGTCTTTGCAAGACCTTCGAGTTAATTTTAACATTTGTGGAAGATGAACTCCAATGGAGCTGCACTTTTCGGATGTTACCCCGTCACAAACTACCACACCTTCGGGAGAAAGTCTGTTGTAAACTAGACGTTATCTCGGAGACCTGCTCTCACTTTTGCCGCCAACCCTGCTCCGATTTCGTATGTCGCAAAGTTTAGTTCGAAAATTTTCTCACTAACCCAATCCGCAAGAGATATGCGGTGCACCTCGAGAGTGGGGCAGAATTTTTTTTTGTATTTCAACAGTTGAATCTATTCGGATCGCCCCAATAAAAACCAGCCATAGAAGAGTCGGTAAATTTCTTCAAATAATGATTGCTTCCCAAGATTTTCTGGAAAGAGACTGACAGCAGATCCTTAGATCAAAAGCGCATGTGACTCACGCCGGCTTCATCGTTGTGAGCCATCCTCTTATAGGTGATTGCCCCAATCCTCTAAGTGTGCACTGTTCTTGAACTTCCACTTTGAAGAAGAAAAAAAACACCTCGACGTTGCAATTTCAGAGACCGTCATTGGGCAGCCTCTTGGTAATGGGTCGATGCAAAAAAATCTTCATGGCGAGAGTTCAGATGAACTTTGGACCAAACAACTTATGGTGCTTCTTACATAGTTTCAAAGCTTTCGAAGAGTTTCGAAACACTCTGAAAATACTCCACGGCTCAGTGCCAGCAAGCGGTCAAAGCCGCGTCCTATACTTTTCGGCCACCCTGTATACAGACTAAAATCGCGAATGAACAGAAGCATAATCGCAAAGTCAAAAGAGCGGCAAGGTGGCTCATTGGAAGGTCGACCCTGCAACGAAACCTTGATGACGCCTAGAGGGACGGGTCCCCTGCCGCTGATTCTATCCTACGGCTGGGGAAGACAGGGTTGCGTCATAGGACCCGCCATTGAATGCGTGTGACGTTGTACTTACCCTCCCCCGTTCACGCACCCTCTTCTCTACGGGGTCGCGCAGTCTGTTGGAGTGTAGAAACGCAGAGCATGTTCCTTGTGGAAACCCTGTTCTCAGCTGGGAGAGACGCATCCCGTCGCGAAGGATAGCATTACGCTCGGTGTCTTTCCTTAACCTATCGCGGTACGGGCGCACAAAAGTAAACAGTAGCGCATATCAGCAGCGCGCGGTTGCCTTTAAAGTTCTGTTTCCTTCTAACTTAACGCAAGGCCCAGCAGGGCCCAAATGACGTATATGTAGCTATTAATTATGTTCATAGGATGGGATAAACATTAGATTTCTGCCAATTAAATTATTACTCTGCAGAACTGGTTAAATAGTTTTAGAACAATGCTTAGATGAAGTGAAGAATGTCTTGTGAGCAACAAGTATCATCTTGCGAGTAGTTAGTATCTAGGTCATTCTTTCCCTCTGAACCTCATCCACAACGCCCCTAAAATCTTGACTCATTGAATGACAGGTATGCCTCTGGACGTTTTCGGCTCTTCCTTTTTCGCAGCAGTTTCTCCACTCTTTTTCTCCGGGGGAGGAGTTGAAACGGCAGCTTCTTCTTTATTCTTTTTCTCAGTTGAGGCGGCTTCTTCGGTCTTCGGTTCAGTTGAAGAAGATTCCTTGGCCTCGGTGGTTTTCGGGAGTGAACCATCCTTACCCTTTTTGTCTGCACTTGCGCCTTTCTCGCTGGTACTCGTGCCCTTCTTCTCATCACCCTCAGTAGCTTTTGCATCGATTTCTTTCGTCTTCGCTTCGCTAGAGTCAGCCACAGTTTTTTCCTTCGCTTTGACAGTTTCCTTTTGATCACCAGCTGGAGCGGTTGAATCCTTTTGCTCTCCCGCAGAAGTTCCACGGTCAGATCCCTTCTGCCTCCGATCCTACACACACCGTTTTCTTTCTTGAAAGCATACGTCTGAGCAGTTTCCTTACAGATTTCTCTTCTACGTCTGACGGACCCTTCTTGTCAGCGCTTTCGACAGTTTTCGCATCCACTTCTTTCGTTTTCGCCTCGCTAGGTTCAGCCGCGGTTCCCTCCTTTGCTTTGCCAGTCTCTTTTTGATCGGGTGCCGGCTCATTTTGCCCTTCAACCTTTTTCGCGCCTTGTTCTCCCGCAGAAGCTCCCTGTTCAGCTGCTTTCTGCTCCGTCCCTGCAGTATCCTTCTTCTTTTTCCGGAAGGAAACGTCGGAACAGCTTCCTTATAGATCTTTCTTCCACGTGGAGGTGCCTGTTGAAAGTCGATGCTTGTCAGTTTGTGTTGCGGCGTGCTGGCTTCGCATGTCCGCGCCGACGGCGAGGCCTCTCCCGGTGCTCCTTCTTTCGTATAATGTATGCTATACGGGGTCGTAAAATGGGATCTGACGAACGACAGCGTTAACCCTGACAAGAAGTTCTTTTTCCATGCATACCACACATGGCTTGATCCTATCCGACAACGCCTTTCAATGTAACTGAAGTTCTGAATGGAAGTCGTTATTCCACGAAAGGAATTCGTAGAAGACAGGCAATTTGTCCACGGCATTTTGTTTTAACAGCACAATGACTGGCCGATATACCTTTCTTTTATTGACCGTTTTGGTAGTTCAGCTCCGGTATCGTGGAAAATCATGGTGTTGCGTTCTGAAAGAACTTCAGTTCCAAAAGATTGAGACGGGATCATGACGAAAAGGCAGAACTCACCACCGGAATCAGCGCTACTGCTGTCGACCATCATGGAAGCGACACATAGCAAAAGTATCACCGACAAAAGGTTGATCATGGCCATGAATCTCAGAGCAGAAAAGACCAACGACTTCAGAACAACTGAAGTCAGGAATCAAAAATTATACAGTGTATCTTTTATATCAGATAAAGTCAGCGCAGCTATACGCCAGTGCATAGTAAGAGCAAATTTAGCCAACGACGTCGTTTTGATTCAATATACCAGGGGAAAAATATCAAACGACAACTAATCCGCAATAGGCTATACGACCGAGCATGCACGGCCGACGACTGCGTAATTTGTCCGTATGGAAGGCATGGAGACTGTGCACAACGAGGGACAGTATACCAACTCCAGTGCTTCAACCTGTAACGAAGTTTACATCGGAGAGACGGGCAGAATGTTAGCGATACGCGTTAAAGAAAATCTTACAGGAAAAAGGCGAGGGAACCTGGTTACTCCACTTGGCAAGCACCGGTTAGAAGATCACCAGGGCAATGATTTTAATATTGAGTGCAGAATCCTTGCCCGCGAGGATGACATCGGTGCTAGAAAGATGTTGGAAGCGTTCTATATCCGCGCACGTAATCCAAAGTTAAATAACCGGAATGAATGCATTGCCATTACAAATGAATTCCTGCCTTTCATTCCTTGTATGTGAGATATTCACATATGGCACGTATGACGCTTCACTGTCATGTGTGTCTCATTTTTCCGCATATATTCAAGGAATTGGGGTGGAGTGGCGCTGGTGGAACTGCAAGGTTGGTTTCCTTAGTTGAATTTTCCTCTATTTGAAACTCTTGAGTAGTACTGGGGCTTGACCGGGTAAGTTACAAGCTAAAACTTCGAACGACTTCAGGTCCTGAAGACGACGAGTTGTTCGAAACGTCGACCGAATAAATAGTTCCATCGTAACAACCTGTATGGCAGAAGAAAAACAAGCAATATTCTCAACAATGCAGTTTTGAAAGACCAAAATGAATTTACTGAATGAAGTATCTATTTAAAGTTCACACTGGACGTTCTTTAAATGGCTTTAATGATTGGCGCACGCCCATCACAAGTATGGAGGTGCTGAAAAACGCAATGGGGTTGTTCTCAATGAATCGTAAAATGCTCGAAGCCGCCCACGTTTCGGTAGTTTTGAACATTTCACGGAAGATTAAAAGATGTCTCCTTCAAGATCTTTCCAATATTTTCAGAATGTAGTTCGTATCGAAGCTAGAGGTGGTGGTGTCCGTTCCTCCAAGTGGTGCCACTGGGAAACTGCTCACTTTTGTGAGCTGAGCTGAACACGGACATTCGAATGCAGGCGACAGGCCCCCGTGACAGGCCGGCCTACGAACACCCACGTCACATCACAAATGTCATGTCGCTATATGAGTATCGAGATAATGCTACGGCGTCCGCGGGAGCCGACGCGCACTCGCAAAGCCCGGCGAGTGTGAAAAGTATGCGAGGGTCTCCGATGCAAGGACGGCATCGGGGGGCAACTAGGCTAGTCCAAAAGTCCCGCAACGTATGGAAGGTTCGCGTTGCAACATTGAATGTTGGCACATTGACAGGTCGCTCGTGCGAGTTGGTAGAAGCACTGGAGCGAAGAAGAATTGATTTCTGTGCCGTGCAGGAAACGAGGTGGTCCTGCTGTAAGTCGAGGGACATTGGCCGCGGCTTTAAAGTCGTTCTCTGTGGCAGTCCCAGGACAACCAGCGGCGTCGGTGTGGTCGTCTCCGAACGTTTCCGCGATTCTATTGCGAATGTCGAACGTTACGATGACCGCTTGATGAAGATCGTTGTTGCTATGGAGCAGCGTCAATACCACATCTTTTCTGCTTACGCTCCACAGACTGGCTGCTCCGAACGAGCCAAGGACGAGTTCTGGGCCCTGTTAGATGAGAAAACCGCTGAGGTACCATCGGAGGACGCTATCATTGTCGCAGGTGACCTTAATGGACACGTTGGATCTGCGAAAGATGGTTATAGTTGTCATGGTGGGTTTGGTTATGGGTCACGAAACGCCGATGGTGAGCGAATTCTTGAATATGCAAGCTCTCACAATCTCACCATCGTGAACACAAACTATCGTAAACGTGACTCACACCTCATCACGTTCTACAGCGGTAATACCAGAACTCAGATTGATTTCGTTCTTGTCAGGCAACGTGATCGAGGGCTAGTGACGGACGCGAAGACAGTGCCGTACGAGACAGTCGCTACGCAACATCGACCACTGATTTGCACATTAAAGATTGCCCCTCCAAGGACCAAGAAAGCCGAACGGTGTGGGCCTGCAAGGATCAAGTGGTGGCGATTGAAAGAAAAGGAATCCGCTCTGTTCAGTCGCATTCGGCTACCGCCAGTAACGACTGTCGACGAAACATGGAAATGTGCCACAGAAGCGATAGTCCGTGTTGCTCGCTCCGAGCTTGGCATTACGAAGCCTGGACGGCGGAAAATCGACAAGCAGACATGGCTGTGGACCGACACTGTCAGAGAAAAAGTACGGGAGAAGAAAAGGCTCTACCAAGTGTTTCTCGGTGACAAGTCAAGCGATAACTGGAACAACTATCAGAGCGCGAAGAAGGCAGCAAAGAAAGCTGTGGCTGTTGCTAGAGCAGTTCATCTCGATGGCGTTAGCGAGAAGCTCGAGACGCGCGACGGCGAACGCTATATTTACAAACTAGCCAAGGCTCGCCATCGCCAGACCGAAGATATCGAGAAGTTCTTTGGCATCAATGACGAGAACGGGCGACTCGTAATGGACCGCAAGAGGGCTGTGAAGCGGTGGCACGACTACTTCGAGAAAATCTCGACAGTGGAATTCTCACACCCGCCAATACCTTCTGCTCCTCCGGTCCACGGCCCTGTCTCGAAGATAACTGTGAGCGAAACAGAGGCGGCTTTGAAGAAGATGAAGACAGGTAAAGCAACGGGTCCCGACGACTTGGCGGCCGATCTGTGGAAGTCACAGTGCTGGAATCCAGCAGAGTGGCTGACGAACTTCTTCAACCAAGTCGTCGCAGAAAAGAAAGTGCCGGAGAGTTGGCAACAGAGTACGACGATCCCGATTTGGAAGAAAAAGGGGAGTCCTGCAGATTGCACGAGCTACCGACCAATTCGTCTGCTCTCCCACAGCATGAAGGTATTCGAACGAATTGTAGATCGCCGTATTCGTGACATAGTCCAGCTTACCGTGAACCAATGCGGCTTCGTGACTGGCTGCGGCACCATTGATGCCATACACGCCGCTCGTCTTCTGCTAGAAAAACACCGTGAAACAAAAGCCGGTGCATTTTGCCTTTCTAGACTTGGAGAAGGCTTTTGATCGCGTTCCACGTGAAGTAATATGGTACGCCTTACGACAACATGGCGTCCCCGAAGAGCTTATCGAGTGGGTTCGCATGCTTTACTCAAGCCCAAAGAGCCGAGTGCAAACGTCAGCTGGCGTTTCGACAGAATTCCCCATCTCTGTTGGGGTACATCAGGGCTCTGCGCTTTCCCCACTTCTTTTCGTTGTCGTCATGGATGCCATCTCACGAGATCTTCAGAAACCGGCTCCATGGACGCTTCTCTATGCTGATGACGTGATGCTCGCCTGCGAAGACAAAAACGTACTCGAACAACAAGCGCAAGCTTGGTGCGATCGCCTAGCGATGTTCGGACTCAGGTTGAACGTTAGGAAGACTGAGTACCTGACAACCGACACGAGCGAGTGCGGTTCTATCAAAATAAATGGAGTAGAGCTGACACGTGCAACGACATTCAAGTACCTTGGATCAGCAATTGCGTCTGATGGCAGTATGAGTACTGAGGTGAACTCGCGTGTGAGTGCGGCTTGGTCCAAGTGGCGTTCTATGACGGGAGTTCTCTGTGACAAGAAAATCCCAGAACGCCTAAAATCGAAGATCTATAGGACAGTCATAAGACCAGTGGCATTGTACGGCGCTGAGTGCTGGCCAGCGACCAGGGACACTGAAACTCGCCTCGGTGTAATGGAGACGAAGATGCTGCGCTGGACGGCTGGTGTCACGCGATTAGATCGCGTCCGGAACGATGTCATACGAGAACGCTTTGGTGTAGCTCCCATTGCTGATAAAATGCGCGAAGCTCGGCTTCGTTGGTTTGGCCACGTTCTTCGCGGAAATGATGACAGTGTTCGCAAGATCGGCCTCAACATAGACGTGCACGGAAAGCGGCCCAAGGGGCGCCCGAAACAGCGCTGGCTCGATACGTTGCACGCAGACTTGAAGTTGGTTAACATTCACCCCGACCAAGCATTAATCGGGAAAAGTGCATCGCACTCGAAAGCGCGACCCGCCAACAAGCGGGACAAACGCTGGCAGTAAGAAGAAGAATAGTTTCGAGAACTGAGGACACGGCCAGAGCAATGCTGTGCAAAAGACTGACTCATAGAGCCGTTATAGTATATTTAAACTTGCATAAAAACCTGCTCTTTAACGCAAGCATCAATACAAGCGTAACGGGTGTCTTAACACGATACTCAGAATTAAGATCACATGTATTTCTGAGATGTTATGTTAACTCTGTTCTGAAAATAATATAAAAAAATGGTAGTTATTGTAGTTTTCCTTGTTATATGATTCACCAGTTTTGCTTCGCCCGCTATCGCGCGCATCACACGGCAGGCTTTAGCGAAATTGGAGGACCCATGGAATATCAGCATGAGATACTCCATCAACCATCTCACTATTGACTGTGTTAGACCCTCCACAGTTTCACTGAAGCTCATCGAAGAATACGCGTGATAACGTCAGAGCTGTGGTATATTGATCACAACTGTAAACATCCAGCATTTTTCTTGAATTAAGATAATTTAGCGGTGAATAGGATTGCTGTCAGTCTCAAAATCAAAACGAAATATGCCTATTTACATAAGTGAGGAGCTAATGCTTATCATTCATTTACATTCGTCATTATTTAGAACCACGAAAGGATTAGCGGTTTAATGAGATTGGGTTTTCTTAATAGTCAGAAATGGAACTTATCATTCGCTGAAGACTTGTTTTTTAAAATTTATGCAGTCGAATTCTATT